CCCAGCGCCTGGCGTTTGATGCTGGGGGTGCTGAGACATCTCCTCTCCCGGAAACCCGGAAACCCGAGGCCAGACAGATAAACACAGATGGAGGGAGAGACTCAGCTGCTTTATTTATGGGCCTGGTGACAGGCCCTCTCCTGTCTCAGAGTCCCTAATCTACCAGGCCCGGAAGAGGCATCCCACCCCCTCGCTACCCTCTTCCCTCCCTCCTGAGACTGGGGCTCAGCCAGGCTCGAGCCTTCCCCCAGCCAGTCAGGCACGGGTCTGCGTGCCAGCTCCTGTGGGCTGGGAGAGAGTGTCCAGGGGCTGTCCCCCAACAATACAGGGATGCGCATCCCACTCCTTGCCCTCCCCCACCTGCACCACCCTGTCTCAATGGGCCATTGGCTCCGCAAGGAAACCCACCCCCATGAATGTGCCTAAGGACAGGTGGATGGCCTAGGTGCCATTTCAGAGGGCCCTTCCCACTGAGAGGTTGGGCAGTTCAAGTGTCTTGACTTGGGAGATGTCTGAGGAGAACCTCTGGGCTGGCCCCTCGTGGGCCTAACCGGGACAGGGACTGATGGGGGATTCCCTGATGTCCCTACAGGGTCAGACCCAGAGCTGAAGGTTCCTGTGCCCCTGCAGTGTTCCCCTCTAATGCGTTTGCACCCACACAAAGGAGGCTCCGGGGACGGAGCACGTTCATTTCTCCTTCTCACCACCTTTACCTTCTCCCCACGCACCCTGACGCACACACCCAGGCACTTTTTTACTATGGGTTAATTCCCATGCGGCTATCAAAGTAGGATCCAGCAGTGGCCAGGCCTCCCCATCAGCTGAGAAACATGATTTCTCTGGCCCCTTGCCCTGTGCCTGGCTGTACAGCTCCTTTGTTCTGTACCTTTTATCCAGGTCCGCCCCAAATCTGGGTAGGGGGAGAAGTAACTCAGCCTTGCAGGGAGACTCCAGGGTCAGAGGTCAGAGAGCAGAGAAAGGGCAGGACAAGAAGGAGGTCAGGGAGGGGACAGATCCCTACCTGGCGGTGGTGACTTTGAGCCTGGACAGAAGGAGCCTTTAAAGCCCCAGAGATTCGGGGATTTGGCTCATAGGATCAGACGCCCAGCTCCCTGACTCAGAGTGGCCAGACAGGGACCTGTTCAACTCGCCTCTCTCTCTTTGTCGTTTAAGGGACTTTGGTTCTTCTGGGGGCTGGGGAGGCACCTCACCAAAATGACAAGCTTCCCATCCCCCTCTCATTTCAGCCACCCTCGGCCTGTCTTCCAGCCCTCTCCACCTCCCCCATTCCTCTGCACTTTGTCCTAGAGCCCAGCCACCACCCCCCTGCACCCCGCCCAGGGCAAAGGGGTGACTTAGAATCCCAGCTCTGAGATACTGATTTACTGTGAAGTCCCAGGCAGTTTCTGTTTTGGATAAATGGGCCTGGCTTGAGGATAAATGGTCAGGGCGCCTGGATGGCTCAGTTGGTTAAGCGTTATGACTCCTGATTTTGGCTCAGGAACTGTGAGATCGAGCCCCGAGTCAGGCTCTGCGCTGGGCATGGAGCCTGCTTGTGATTCTCTCTCTCTCTCTCTCTCTCTCTCTCTCTCTGCCCCTCCCCTGCTCATACTCGTGCTCTCTCTCTCTTTCAAAATAAATAAACTTTTTTTTTTTTTTAAAGGATAAATGGCATTTGCTGGACTCTCCCCCCAAATCCACTCTGCGTTCTCTTCTAGGAGCTTCTCTCCACTGGCTCCACTCAGCCTGCCCCCTAGAGCGTCTTCCCAGTTTCCAAGCCACCACCTCAAGAATCCCATCCATTTGTTGTCTGCCCTTGTTTCTGGACTCTTGATGAGTCAGGGACGTGCTCTGTCTCCCCCGTCAGTCTGGGAAATCTTTGTGGTCAAGAACCATGTCTCCCCTATCCGACCAACAGCTCCCTGAAGGGGTCGCCTTCTGGACCTACTTCCAGCACTGGGCACAGGCCCCTGCCCCGGGTGGGGGGAGCCGAAGCAGTGAGGAAGGGGGGTGGGGAGACGGGAGAAACTTGATTTCTCCACTCATTAGACGGGTCCCTGCAAAGATAAGCCCAGGGAGTAAAGGGGAAAAGCTTCCCACTTTGGCAACTTTTAAGCTGAAACTGAAAAGAAGAAAGGAAGAAGAGAGTACGTTTTCCCCTGAGATTTTCCCCAGAGATGCAGAGCCTTCCTCCAGCCCCACCTCCCTATTTCACTTGCTTCCCCCTTGAGGCCCAAGACAGGGGACAAGAGGGTCTGTCCCATGTCTTCCGAACTGGCACCGCGCTCCCTCCTCCTCCCCCCTTGCCTGCCTTGCCAGCCTGCGGGCGCTGGCTCCCCGCCAAATGTCAGACTGCTCAGCCCCACCCAGGGTCCTTACTCAAGGCAGAACCTGCTGGGGAGGCAATGCCTCCAATTTCTCAAAGAAGCTGCCAAACTTGAGACCCCTGGTCCCTGAGGAGAGGCGGCGTCAACATGTGAAGCAGCTTGGGGACCACTCTGAACTCAGGGATGTGTCTCTATCCACAACAGGGAAGACGGATGTGTGCTCCGCTCGCTCGGATATGGTTTCACCTCCTTCGGTCCCCTCCCCTCCCCGACTCTGGGATCCATGGTCTGAGAGAGGTCATTGTGTCCATCCCCCGGCCCAACCCTCCACCATGCTGGATAAACATCTCTGTTGGTTTGAGACCACCACCGCCCTGGCGAAGATGCTACTATGGTCTCCTGAAGCCATGAAACACACAGTCCGTCCTCTACACTTGGCCTTGACGGTTGGGTCTTGAGTTGACGCCCATCTTCATTGCTGGGTCCCTGAGGCTGCCCATGCTGATCGAGGCTCTCCTTGCTCTCTCCTGGAGATGACGGACTTGCCCTGTCCACTGAGGTCTCAGCCAGAGACCCCCACAGAGCTGCCAGGCCGGCCAGCTTCTGGCCTTCCCATTTTAAGCCTGGGCTACGGAGTTCCATCCTGACTTCTGATGGATGGAAAGCTGTGGTCTTCCTTTGTGCCAGCTGCCCCCAAAGCTAACAAGAGCTCTCATTTACTGGGCCCTCGGGATGGGCCGGGCACACACGTTTTCTTACTTAACCTTCACAACAACCGCTGAGGTGGGTCCTGTTGTCACCCCCATTTTACAGATGAAGAAATGAAGGCTATGACACACTATGGTTGCACTTCCCATCCAGAAGGCAGCCCACTTTGGGCCAGAACCAGAGTCATTATTGTATTGACAGCAAGAGTGGCCTGCCTGTGGACAAACCCCTGCCCTGGGCAACTGAGGGAAGGGGCAGACTACCAGGGAGGCGTGGCTCTCTCTTGGGAAGACAGCTTCTTGAGGACTTTTCAATCTGATGGAAGAGACAAGACCACTGCCCTCTGGGAGCTGCCAGTCTGAGAGAGGAGTCTGATTGTACTAAAAAACAAAAAACAAAGAAACAAAAAAACAGTAGGGGTGCCCAGGGTGGGGGGGTTCCGTCGGTTAAGCGTCTGACTTGGGCTCAGGTCATGATCTCACAGTTTGTGGGTTCGAGTCCCAGATTGGGCTCTGTGCTGACAGCTCAGAGCCGGGAGCCTGCTTCGGACTCTGGGTCTCCCTC